ATCATCCACTATGCTTGGTCAATATTGTGCTAATACAAATGTGCTCAAACCTTTGTTTTAGATCATGTTATATACAGCTGTAACATTGGCTGTGGCAAAAAGGCCAGACATTTTCACTGCTGCCAGTGTCCCAAGATTTACATGAATAAAGGTGCCATAAAAAAGCATCTTTGTAGCGCTCATCCAATAGCTACTTGCAATCCAGAACCACAACCTGTAAGTCACCCACTACAAGAACCTCCTTCACACCAACAACCAGCATTTCATCCACAAGAACTTGATTTGCAGCAAGCAGCACCTTCAGCGATTGGGAGAAAGCAGATCTCTGTGCAGTGTCCTAGTAGGGTGAGTGCAAATTCCAAAAAATTAGAAATACATTGAGTGGATAAATCATGAAGCCATGCAGTGTGTCCTTAACAAGCACAGTGTGATGATAAAAAGAATAGGAGGTACAGTACTGAGCAAATGTATTTTAGAATTTTCACCAAAAATAATTTAATATCTTTTGGTTTAAGTGTGCTAATAGGAGATGTCAGTTCACACTTCCAAACATTCCTTTTGACATTTTTTGTAATACTCCAGTGAAATTTTTGTATGAACAGTGAGTCCAACAACATACACAGAGATATGATCTCATCATCATTTAGCCTGTCTGTGATTACATCGAGAGCCAAAAGGAGATGACTAAATCCAGAAGAACTGTGGAAACATATCCAAGATGATTGATGAATTATATCTGTGAAGCTACAGTACTGTGAAAAATTTTAATCACATGTGCAAAAATGCTGTCAAGTAAGGATGTTTTCAAAAATAAACTGGTTTATTACTGGCTCAATAAATAAACTGGTTTATTACAGTTAATGGCTATATGAATGTTTAGAAATGCACAGTGATATTTCCTACTGTCACACTAAAGCAAAATATAAAAATACATTTCTTATGTAACTTTTGCTGAGTACTCTTATATCGTAGTAAAATCATTCTGTGGGTGTTTTAACTGATTCGTTTAAATCAAGTGAACTGTTCCTGACACCTTTCTCTTTTCAACTGTCATTATGAGTCAGACAGATAAAGTGATTTGAAAAAGTGAAGGAACACTGAGGCCAAGCGCCTGCAGATAAGCGTAAAGGGATTGTTTATTGTTTTGACCAAACTGTGTGACTTTGCTTGCTAGATACCCAGCTAATTATAAAAAGTACTACTAACAAGTATTATTAGTCAATGTTAGCTAGCTGTTTAGTGGATCTTCTAGCTATTTGTCACTTTAGCTATGAAACCCAGTGATGAGAATGGTAACTTGTATGTTAGGTATATTCTAAGTGAATTAAAAAATAATGAGTTAGCTTTCTAGACTAGATTTCTAGGCACTATGTAACATAACATGTTATCTTAATTGATTATTGTCTTCTAGTCAAAAATGGGAAGCAGTGGTTTATATACATAAACATATTTTAGATTGAAATTTATAGACATTTTCTCCTGAGGGTAACTGATATTTTTATTGTCTATTCAGCACATCACAATTAAGCAGAAAGGACAGGAGCCTCGACCGCGATGCTGCCATGCAGACGCTACTTTATTCACATGCCCCTTCTGTGCAACTGACGTGTGTAAGCCAAGACAGTACCATCAAATAATGACCCATATAGCTGGGCATAAACTGAGAGCGGTTGAATATGGAGGTGAGTTTATGAGCAAACAGTTTCTTTGGTAACACTTTGTAATAATGTGGGAAGAGAACAAACATAGATTACAAGTGTTGTGAATGAAACTGTTATGAACATTAAAAATAAAAATACAGCATTAATTATTCTTCGTCGATGGTGTGCTTATACAAATGTGCTAAAATCTCTTTAGATCATGTTATATACAGCTGTAACATTGGCTGTGAAAAAAAGGCCAGACATTTTCACTGCTGCCAGTGTCCCAAGATTTACATGAATAAAGGTGCCATAAAAAAGCATCTTTGCAGCGCTCATCCAATAGCTACTTGCAATCCAGAACCACAACCTGTAAGTCACCCACTACAAGAACCTCCTTCACACCAACAACCAGCATCTCATCCACCACCAGAACCTCCTTCACACCAACAACCAGCATCTCATCCACCACCAGAACCTCCTTCACACCAACAACCAGCATCTCATCCACCACCAGAACTTCCTTCACAGCTACGACCAGCATCTCAACCACAAGAACTTGATTTGCAACAAGCAGCACCTGATCGACAAGAATTAGCAGCTTCTCCAGCGATTGAGAAAAAGCAAATCTCTGTTCAGGTTCCACGTAGGGTGAGTCTGAATTCTAAAAATTGAAATACATTGAGCTGAATGACTATCTAGCATTAAGTATTATTGGTTTACATTAGCTTGCTATTTAGTGCATCTAGCTATTTGTCACTTTAGCTATGAAACCAATGGTGATAGTGGTAACTTGCATTTAAAATATCAAAGACTTATCCAGTCTAACCTTAGCTAGTTATCTAGGCTGGAGTCCTAGGCACTTCAACTTGTTGAAATAATCAGTTAGTTAAATTAATCAGTCTAGTATAAATATGAAGCAATGGTAATATACATTGAGGAAATATAATTTAGACTAAAATTGATAGACTCTTGTGTGTAACTGACATATTTCTTGTCTATTCAGCACATCACAGTTAAGCAGAAAGGGCAAGCACTTCGACCACGATGCTGCCATGCAGACGCTACTTTATTCACATGCCCCTTCTGTGCAACTGACGTGTGTAAGCCAAGACAGTACCATCAAATAATGACCCATATAGCTGGGCATAAACTGAGAGCGGTTGAATATGGAGGTGAGTATGTGAGCTTAAAGTTTGTTTGGTAATACTTTATAATAATGTGGTAATAGTTAACATGTTATAAACTAACAATGAACAAATACTTTTACAGTATTCATTGGTTAAAATGTTTAGTTTAAAATAAAAAAAAATTGTATACTATATATTTACACTGGGTAATCCATTATGAGCTAAGTAACAATGAGAAGTAACATTAATTAATTCAATCTGTAAAAGAAAAAAATGTTCATTGTTAATTTATGTTAATGTACATTGACTAATGTTAAAAAAAGAAGTTTATTAGAAAGTAATATCTTTTTTTTCAGTTAAAGGGGTCATATGATGCGATTTCAAGTTTTCCTTTCTCTTTGGAGTGTTACAAGCTGTTCGTGAATAGATAAGATCCCTAAAGTTGCAAAGACTAAAGTCTCAACCCCAAAGAGATATTCTTTATAAAAGTTAAGACTGGTCCACTCTCTCCTAAAACGCCTCGTTTAAACACGCCCCCACATGTCTGCGTCACTGTGTGGGAAGATTTGCATAACACCGCCCAAATGTTCATGCAAAGAAAGAAGGCGTAACTTTATTGTTGCTGCTACCGCCGCCGCCATGTCGTGGAGACGCTGTGTGTTTTGTTGCGAAAGCGAGAATACTTTGTTTGGCCTTCCAAAAGAGGACACGACTAGAAATCAGTGGTTAAGTTGTATTTACAACACTGTTCCAGAACAGTT